TTTTACCAAATAAAAATTTGGTCGTTACATAAAAAAAAAACCCAGATGTTACTGTTTTTGTTAATGAACAATTTTAAAGAGTAGTTTAAAAACACAATTAACACTCTGGTTTATACAACTTAAACTTTTGACATATATCGTGATAATTATCGATATCGACTGATATTAAAAAAAGTATCGTGATTTTTTTGGGCCATATCGCCCAGCCCAAGCTCAAAGTGTGGCTATATATCACCAGGCTTGATACCAACAGCGTCTTCGACTGCACGAAAAGAACTGGGGCGCGTCATAAATGAACCGAAACTCAACGTATAGCTACTTGCCTCACAGACATGAGAAATAGGCCTATAGAAAGCTGGAAATGTCTACTTTTAAAACAAACCAATTTAAATTGAAAACAAAAACTCTGATTATGTAATCCACATGAAAGATGAAGTTGACGTTGCGGACTCATCATTTCCGCAATATAGAGAATATTGCGGAGATGATGAGTACGCAACGTCAACTTCATCTTTGCAGCCAGCACTGACTCCGAAAACACTAGTTTATTAATACGAAATTAAAATGTCTCGAAAAATGCATATTTGTATTGAAAAAATTATTGTTCAGGAACCGGTATCGAAATCAAGGTATCAGAACATTTTTGATCGATACCCAGCCCTACAGATGAATTAGTCCGGCGATCAGTGCAAAAAATATATTATGTAACATCAGTTTAAAACTAAAGTAAACTAACATTATGAGACTTAGGGGCCGTTCACATATCGCGCCTAAAAACGCGTAGAAAACGCTAGGCGCACGCGTTCTCCTTTTTCCAAAGAAGCACTAGGGCGGTTGCACTCCGGAGGCGTCTGTCGTTGCTAAGCAACCATCAGCTGCGCTCTCCATTACATGAAGGAAATTTCAGCAATGGATTTCCACCACCGAAAAACCTTTGCTGTAACTCTGTTACAAGATTTATTTACTCAGAAAAGTAAAAAAAAACGCTGCCGTGTTTGGGTGCACCCCATACTACAAAAACGCAAGAACCATGGGGAATTTCACCAGATGATTCAGGAACTCCGCCTGGACAATGGGAGGTTCAAAGCCTATTTCAGAGTGGACAAGGACCAGTTTGATTATATTTTAAGAAGAGGTAACAAAAATGGCGAGGAAGCTGATTGGTTGACGTGACACGTGACCTACGGTGCGCTTGCGGCATTCTGAAAAGTTGAGATGTTTTTATCTCGATGCGGCGCGGACGCTCCTGGAAAAAACGAGCGCGTCGCACCGCGACGCTTCCATTATGAGCGCGCATACCGCGCGCCTACATTTGAAATAACGAACTTGAGCGCGCAAAAGACGCGATATGTGAACCGGCCCTAATACTGTCATTCTGATTGGATGAAACGCATTTAAAGTCAAGTTATGAGCACGTGCGACCGGACGTCATACTGCCAGAAATCTAGTCGTTTTAATGGGATGTCATTAACACATCACTAGGGTTGGGTATCGAGTATCGATTGGAACCGGGACTAACTTTTCATTTTTCCCGGAATCGTTCAAAAGTTAAAATTTCGATTCCTAGTTTCGATATTCACAGTCCGCTGAGCGGAAGAAGAAACCGCTGAACAACACCAATGAAGAAGCGTCTACCGGAAGTGTCGGCATAACCACGCGAGTCGAACATGAGTAGCTTACGTCGGCGGTCCAAAGTGTGGCTTCACTTTTCTAAAAATAACGAGTATTTCCTTCAGAAAGGCCGTTGGTTAGCAAGGTTAGCTAAACTTTTTTGACCCTGCCTCTTAAAAGAATCGGAATCGAGAATCGTTAGGAACCGGAATCGAAACAAGGAATCGGAATCAGAATCGTTCAAATTCAAACGATACCCAACCCTACACATCACACATTTTATCTTTTTTTTATGTGTATAGAGATATATTTGTATAATATGTGTATTTTTTGGTGCTATGGTTAACTGTCCATGTCATCTTGATCCCCAGAGACTGTTTTTTTTTTCTCTCTCTCTATTATTTCCCCATCTTTCATTTCCATGTTTGGGTGCATTCACACCATGTCGTAATTACGAGATTCCGACTTGTAAAAAGTGTTGATGTCCTGGTAGAACGGGAAAGCGTCGTGTGTTGCGATCTCGTAATTACGACATGGCTTGTTCACATGCTCCGTCACATGCCTGACCGCTGTTTTGTGTTCTCTCAGGTCCGTCTCGTCATGGGGCGATTGTAAATGCGTGACCCCGGTTGGCGCCTGAGGAACCCCGGATTGAAAACCCTGAAATCTACACAAAGGCTACATGGGCCTAAAGGTCATTATGACTGATTGGCTTATTCTAACCGTTGAAGAGTTATACAGCCCTTTGTTCTTTGTATACATTGTTCCTGTTTTAAACGTGTATGTCCTTTTTAATTCGTTGAGTGGGACGAGCATCACAATTCTATTGGGCTTTAAGGTAACCCTGTTTCGGTGATGGATCTGAGAGTGCTAGCTGCACCTCACTTGTGTCACTTTTGTAAGACACTGTTTAGAAATTAATCTAGATTTGGCTTTTTGTTGTTGTTGTTAAAAATCTGCGTATAATTATTTCTCTGCTTTGTTTTTGAAATCATTTGGAAAGTATGAATAGCTTGTGTTCTGATTAGGCCTACTTTATATCCCAGTTCTGATGTTAAACTGATTTTTTTATTATATACATATAGTTAATTTGGCTTTTCATGAGTGATTATTTGGATTCTTCTAACCCAATGTCTTGTGTATTTTTTGTGCACTAGGCGCAGTTGTCTAGCTGTTGAGTTTTGCTGGTTAGCTGTTAAGATCCGGTGTTGCAGTGCTGAGTGCTTGGCTGTTTCCGGTTTTCTCCAGTTTGCTGCTGTTGCAGGTGTGGTCGAGGTCAAGCAGCATCAGCACAATAAAAAATCCGGTGGCCAAAGCGCTGTCGTCCGTTAAATTGTGTTACAGTTTGGAAAGTTGGGAGTATCTTAAACTGTACCAATCAACATTGTTCTGTCCTGGATCTTCAATAAACCAGTTATTAAATGCTTCTGTCTTGGTGTCATGGAAAATGTGTTCTTGACAGGGTTATTACTATTATTAAACTCGCTTCACTTGAAATAAAATAATTGCGAGCTGGAATAAAGTGAAAAAACTTAAAGTCCCCCTGTGGTAAAAACAAAATTTATTTCATTTTTCTGGTCTAGAAAAGCTTATTTTATTTCATTTTTCAATTTTTTCAATTTTTTTTTTTTACTTTTTTTCAAAATGACTCTTGGGAAGGATGAGGTTAAACTTTAAATATGTGATCAACTTATTTTGTTTCAGCTAGTTGCCAAGCCAATTTTAATTCATTTTAAGTTGTAATAAAAACACTGAAATGATGAATTTAAAAAAATAATAATACAAATGCACAACAAAATTACTAAAACTTAAATTAATTAAAATAAAAATCTAAAATATTGATAAATTTAATAGTATCTCAATGATACTTAACTAAATCATGCCCTATAGTGTATATTGGCATAATCTGTCACCATAAACCTGTTTTATTTCTGTAATCTGGCATTTTCAAGTGAAGGATTAAAATGTAGAACAGAAGATTATCAGGACATGTGATATTGGAAAGGACTGTTTAGGAAAAGATTTGTACAAGTTTCTCATTACAACCCCGTTCTTGTTATAATCATCATTTGTACAGTATGATTCCCAGGAAGTGTTGATCCAGCAAGATGGTTTTTGTTTGCCTCAAATATTTCGAGTGGGACATTGATGCACTTCAGATCCCACTTGTGTAACAAAGCCTCGATGGACCAGTCCGCACTGCAAAAAAAAGAAATAAAAAGTCTATTAATTAACTAGGCATCTTGGATGGTGAATAATTATGAACGAACCCTATTAATATTACATTTATCAATATAGCGGCACTAATTATACATAATAATAATAATAATAAATAATAAAATATACTTCATTGTCCCCCAGAGGGGAAATTTGTCTTGGGCTACAGTCACTGTGACACACTTTCGACAACTTTGGGGCTTGAACAACAAATTCAAGCCCCAAAACAACAAAATCAAGCCCCAAAACAACAAATTCAAGCCTCAAAACAATAAAATCAAGCCGCAAAACAAAATCAAGCCCCAAAACAACAAAATCAAGCTGCAAAACAACAAAATCAAGCCCCAAAACAACAAATTCAAGCCTCAAAACAATAAAATCAAGCCGCAAAACAAAATCAAGCCCCAAAACAACAAAATCAAGCCGCAAAACAACAAAATCAAGCCGCAAAAACAACAAAATCAAGCCCCAAAAACAACAAAATCAAGCCGCAAAACAACAAATTCAAGGCGCAAAACAACAAAATCAAGCCGCAAAACAACAAAATCAAGCAGCAAAACAAAATCAAGCCGCAAAACAACAAAATCAAGCCCCAAAACAAATTAAAGCCGCAAAACATCAAAATCAAGCCGCAAAACAACAAATTCAAGCCGCAAAACAACAAATTCAAGCCGCAAAACAACAAATTCAAGCCGCAAAACAACAAATTCAAGCCCCAAAACAACAAAATCAAGCAGCAAAAACAACAAAATCAAGCCCCAAAACAACAAATTCAAGCCGCAAAACAACAAAATCAAGCCGCAAAACAACAAAATCAAGCCGCAAAACAACAAAATCAAGCCCAAAACAACAAATTCAAGCCGCAAAACAACAAAATCAAGCCGCAAACAAAATCAAGCCCCAAAACAACAAAATCAAGCCCCAAAACAACAAATTCAAGCCCAAAACAACAAAATCAAGCCACAAAACAACAAAATCAAGCCCCAAAACAACAAAATCAAGCAACAAAACAACAAAATCAAGCCCCAAAACAACAAAATCAAGCCCCAAAACAACAAAATCATCCGCAAAACAACAAAATCAAGCCGCAAAACAACAAATTCAAGCCGCAAAACAACAAAATCAAGCCGCAAAACAACAAAATCAAGCCGCAAAACAACAAAATCAAGCCCCAAAACAACAAATTCAAGCCGCAAAACAACAAAATCAAGCCGCAAAACAACAAAATCAAGCCGTAAAACAACAAAATCAAGCCCCAAAACAACAAATTCAAGCCGCAAAACAACAAAATCAAGCCGCAAAACAACAAAATCAAGCCCCAAAACAACAAAATCAAGCCCCAAAACAACAAAATCAAGTCACAAAACAACAAAATCAAGTCACAAAACAACAAAATCAAGCCCCAAAACAACAAAGTCAAGCCCCAAAACAACAAAATCAAGCCCCAAAACAACAAATTCAAGCCCCAAAACAACAAAATCAAGCCCCAAAACAACAAAATCAAGCCCCAAAACAACAAAATCAAGCCCCAAAACAACAAAATCAAGCCCCCAAAACAACAAATTCAAGCCCCAAAACAACAAAATCAAGCCCCAAAACAACAAAATCAAGCCGCAAAACAACAAAATCAAGCCGCAAAACAACAAAATCAAGCCCCAAAACAACAAATTCAAGCCCCAAAACAACAAAATCAAGCCCCAACACAACAAAATCAAGCCCCAAAACAACAAAATCAAGCCACAAAACAACAAAATCAAGCCCCCAAACAACAAAATCAAGCCCCAACACAACAAAGTCAAGCCTCAAAACAACAAAATCAAGCCCCAAAACAACAAAATCAAGTCACAAAACAACAAAATCAAGCCCCAAAACAACAAAGTCAAGCCCCAAAACAACAAAATCAAGTCACAAAACAACAAAATCAAGCCCCAAAACAACAAAGTCAAGTCACAAAACAACAAAATCAAGCCCCAAAACAACAAAGTCAAGTCACAAAACTACAAAATGAAACTAAATCATATCACCTTCTCTCCTGGTATGTAGTCCAGAACTGAGCATGAGGGTTTCTCCTTATGAGAAAGGAGATGGTCACGAGCACGTCTTCAAAATCTGTCCAAAGCAATGTTTTGTTGAATATTTAGAAATCTGTGTAACATTTAAGCATAAGATTAAACCCTGGGGAAAAACATCATCACCTTCAGGTTCATAGAAGACATCTGAGCCCAGGATGATGTCCAGCGGGGTCAGCGAGAGGAGCTCCGGCGACACCTGTCCCCAGGTGAGTCCGATCACAGGCACATCGGGCAGGCTGTTGGCGTCACAGGAGCGCCTGCAGTTCCTCAGACAGAGGGGCAGTTCGGCACTGTCTGACAGCATCACACGCGCTCCACACCTGCCAGCCACCACACCTGGCAAACCCACCCCGGCGCCGAGCTGCCACACAAAAGCACAGTTTATTACACTCAATTTGACCCAAATTACATTAGCCTGAAATAAAAAATAGTAAAGAAAAAAATAATTAAACAAATGCATTGCTCACAATAAGATCTATAATAAGCATTTAGAAAATAGACAGGGTGAAATGTCATTTCATGCCAACTTCAACACTAATGGAGGGGGTTTGACTCCGGTTTAAGTCACAAATGTGAACGTGTCAAGGCATCAGATGTGTGTATAATACCTCAAGAACAGTCTTGTTCTGTAGTTCCTCTCTTGCCATCCACACATACTGTGATAGCACCACCGCACAGGGCCACACATACATGCCATATTGTGAATCAAGAACCTGAAATAAATCAGTGTTTATTGGCAAATTATTGACATTAAAGTTATAAGATTGCAAACTTTGCTGTACCTCAGGGATAGACACAGTTAAGGAGTCTTCACAGTCCTGAAATGTAAATGATTTCTCTATTAACGTGTGTGAGGATTCGTTCATGGCCTTGCTGATGTTTTATCCTACAGTACTTGTAGTTAACATAACATATTCAGCTTTCCAAAACAACATTAAATCCATTTCGTCAAACGTTTAGGCGGTCTCTTTGTCTGGTGATGTTCTATTGGATCATTAGTCTGCGCGGACAGTGACGAGCACACTCGAAAGCCAATCGGCGTACAATTCCAAAGTACAATGTGAAACAGCAAGCCAATCAGATTCTTAGAAACGCCTACGGGGCGGGAAATAAGCTACAGGTTAGATTGCGCCATACGGCGTGAAAGAAGCTTGCTGCCGCCAGGTTATCTAACTTTAGTTTATTACCGAACCCTTCTGTGTATCAATCTTCCGTCTCTCTGAAATAAACATAACTTGATTCCTGTATCGCGCACTGTACTGTCGTCCGCGAAAGAACTACACACACATCTACAAGGCCTCCAGTGACTGACTAGCCACTCTCCATAGACTTTCATTGCATTGGCATCGGACTTAGCAATAGCACGCGGGCTAAAAAAGCGTCACCCGAAGACAAGACGTGCCGAAACCCTGAAGAATGAACCATAAGAGTAAGAAACGGATCAAAGAAGCGAAGCGGAGCGCCAGACCCGAGCTGAAGGACTCGAGCGACTGGATCAAACACGATTACTGCGAGAGCTTCGACGTGTCGCACAGGACCGTGAAGGTAACGCTACAGTTCGTGCGGAGTAACGTTAACGTTACATACCGTCGCGGTTTTGTATTTTGTTTTTAACGTTACACACGCATGTGTTTGTGACGGCCAGTGTCTACGTTGCTCGCCGCACGTACACACTTCCTCGTTTACAAGACACTTGAAAAGTTTGTTGTTGCTTGTACAGTGACAGTAACGAACACGTTTTGATTTTAAGAAGAAGGCTAAATAATGACGTAAGCACATAAATATTGGTCACAAGTTTGGAAACATTAACTATTTAATTTTTAATGTTTTTGAAAAAAGTTATGGTCATCAAGCCTGCATTTATTTGATCAAAATAGAGGGGGAAAACATAATATTATGAAATAATATTAGAAGTTAAAATAGCTGTTTTTATGTGAATGTAGCCTATGTTAAATCAAAGCTGAATTTTCAGCATCATTGCTCCAGTCTTCAGTGTGGAGTGCTGCTTGATATTTTTATGGCACCTGTGAAACTTTTTTCAGGATTCTTTGATGAATAAAAATAACAGCATTTAATCAAAATAGAAATATTTACTATCACTTTTATTATAATGATTTCTGAAGGATCATGAAGACAGTAATGTATAATGTGTCATCAAATCTAATTGAAGCTCGTATGTAAAGTAATTGAATCATTTCATATAAGGTTTCATATGAGTGTTTGCTTCTGAAAATAATTATATATTGCTAAAAATAATCTGAGCAGCAAGAGCTGAGCCATCATTGAGGCAAACTGCGCACTGTTGCTCTTTTACAAACCCGGCCTTGTGCCTGTTCCCTGTAATGAGTTTTAGTTTTCTCAGTGGACCTTTTAAAGGTTTTGGCTTGATTTGGAGTAGAAAAAAACATTTCTATGTAATTGATTTGACATTTGTTTTAATAGGTTGAGTTTAAGCGCATTCAGTAACATAATAGTTCCTTCTTTATGGTAGTCCACTCCACGGGCCTTCAACATCACTTTTCAATGCTCTTGACATTAAAGGTAAGGTTCACCCAAAAATAAAAATTAGCCCATGATTTATACACCTAGGATGACTTCAGGGTGAGTATGACTTTCTTCTTTCAGACGAATACATACAATTAGAGTAATATAAAAAAAATGTCCTGGATCTTCAAAGCTTTGTAATGGCAGTGAATGGCAATTTCTGTTTTGAAGTCCATAAAAGTGCATTTCTCCATCATAAAAGTGCATCTCTCCATCATAAGTGCATCTCTCCATGATAAATGAGCATGTATCCTTCATAAAAGTGCATCTATCTATCATAAAAGTGCATCTATCTATCATAAAAGTGCATCTATCCATCATAAAAGTGTCTCTATCCATCATAAAAGTGCATCTATATATCATAAAAGTGCATCTATCCATCATAAAAGTGCATCTATCCATCATAAAAGTGCATCTATCTATCATAAAAGTGCATCTATCCATCATAAAAGTGCATCTATCCATCATAAAAGTGCATCTATCTATCATAAAAGTGCATCTATCCATCATAAAAGTGCATCTATCCATCATAAAAGTGCATCTATCCATCATAAAAGTGCATCTATCCATCATAAAAGTGCATCTATCTATCATAAAAGTGCATCTATCTATCATAAAAGTGCATCTATCCATCATAAAAGTGCATCTATCTATCATAAAAGTGCATCTATGTATGATAAAAGTGCATCTATCCATTATAAAAGTCCATCTATCCATCATAAAAGTTTTTTTTTTTTTACTTTTATAATTGAGAGTTTCATACTGATGGTTGCAATCCACTCCCATTAAAAAGCTGGGAAGAGGATTTTTTTGTAAAATAACTCTGATTGTATTCATCTGAAAGAAGAAAGTCATACACACGAGGATGAATTGAGGGAGAGTAAATCATGGGCTAATTTTCATTTCTGGGTGAACTATCCCTTTAATGTGTGCGGTGTTCTGTAAAGCTGCTTTGAATCGACATGAACTAACTCTACTGTTTTTGTCCAGGACAACGTGGAGCGAGTGGACACCCTGCGCCTCAGTCCCGAGGAGTTCATCCAGCGCTTCGAGAAGCCGTACAAGCCCGTGGTCCTGCTCAACTGCCAGGAGTCGTGGCCCGGCCGGGACAAATGGACCTTGGAGCGACTCAAGCGCAAATACCGCAACCAGAAGTTCAAATGCGGCGAGGACAACGACGGCTACTCTGTCAAGATGAAAATGAAGTACTACGTGGAGTATCTGGAGTCGACCCGCGACGACAGCCCCCTCTACATCTTCGACAGCAGTTTCGGGGAGCACGCCAAGCGCCGCAAGCTTCTGGAGGACTACCAGGTGCCCGTTTTCTTCAGGGACGACCTCTTTCAGTTTGCGGGGGAGAAGCGACGCCCGCCGTACAGGTAACGCATCCTGCTTGCAAGCTGTTATTTAATTAATTAATTAATTAATTAAACAAGCTGCCAATGGCACCTACTGGCCACAGGTTAGCTACTCTTTTTGGTCCCATTACTTCAGAAAGCGTAAGAGGCATAAATCCCATGATATTTTTTTTTTACGTATTATTTTAATTAGGACAGTATAGCATGGCATGAAAGTTGGTAGTTTTAACAAATCAAATTTAAAGTTTATTTCTAGAAAATAAAGTATAACAATTAATACTGTTGTTTTTAGACTTATTCTTATAATATAATATAATTTGATCAACTTTATTGATCCCCAAAGTGGAAATTCAATGTAATTTAATTTTAAGTGTTACATTTGCAGGAAGGGTGTAAATAGTACAATTTCATATAATTATTTTTTATAGTTATTTCACTTGAAATAAAACAATATTGTTGAAAAACAATATATCATATAGAGGTCGAGCAATATTGGATGTTACCGATAACTGAGTTGTGCAGAACCTGCCGTTAATTAAATGATACTGAATCAAAACACTCAAAGTATTGTTGAACTTTATTACACAAATAAAACGGCATTAGAGCTGAAACAATTAGTCGACATTATCGATAATTTTATATATAATTTTTGTTGTCAACACCAGCAACGGATAACCAGAATAGCACAAGCGATAGATTTACAAGATTATTTACAAGTCGTTACTTTTACAATTAATTGTAAAAGCATTTAAAAAAATTTGAAAAAAATATATCGTCGTCCTCTAATATAATGTAATACAATATAAAAAATGTTGTGCTATTTATTAGATTTGTTGAAAAGGGGTAAAATAAAATAGAATTAGATAAATTTGATCTCTTAAAGAGGAAATATAATATACATACAGTATGTTATAATATAAAGCTTTATTAAAACCCCTGGGGAGAAAATGTATTAATTTTATTATAATGTAATGTAATATAATCAGGGCTGTCAAACGATTAATTGTGATTAATCGCATCCAAAATAAAAGTTTGTGTTTACATAATATATGTGGGTGCACTGTGTATAATTATTTTGTATATATAAATACACACACATGCTTGTAAATATTTAAGAAAAAAATGTTTATAAATAAAATATTTATATATTGTATAAATTATTTATAAATCTATATACAGTATATGCATGAAAATGTTTATTAAATATATACAAGCGTGTGTGTGTGTGTTTATTTATTTATATATATATATATATATATAATTAATTATACACCGTGCACCCACATATATTATGTAAACACAAACTTTTATTTTGGATGCGATTAATTGTTTGACAGCCCTAAATATAATATAAATATTTTTGTTATTTAATTGGTCATACATTTATTGAAAGGAAGAAAGAATAGAATAGAAAATTGATTGATCCCCCATATATGAAATTTACAAAAATGTGTTATAAATAGGGCTGTGCAAAGATTAATTGCGATTAATCGCATCCAAAATAAAAGTTTGTGTTTACATAATATATGTGTGTGTGCTGTATATAATTATTTTGTACATATATATATATATAAACACATATGCATGCATGTATATATTTAAGAATTATTTGCATGTAAATACTATATAAACACATTTTTTTAAACATATATACATGCATGCGTGTTTGTTTATATATACAAAATAATTATACACAGCAAACATATATATCATGTAAACAAACTTTTATTTTGGATGCGATTAATCATGATTAATCTTTGCACAGCCCTAGATATGATCTAATTATTTTTGCTATGACATTCGTTGAAAGGGAGGGAAAGTGATTTGTGTTTAATAAGCGTATAACTGTGCCCTGCCGGTGGACATTAGCTAACAGTCGATGTGTTTTCAGTCCATTTAGGCTGTTTTTCACTCTTCACCAGGTGGTTTGTGATGGGTCCTGCCCGCTCTGGGACGGGCATCCACATCGATCCGCTCGGCACGAGTGCGTGGAACGCCCTGGTCCAGGGCCACAAGCGCTGGTGCCTGTTCCCCACACACACGCCCCGTGAGCTCATCAAGGTGACGCGAGAGGACGGGGGAAACCAGCAGGACGAGGCCATCACCTGGTTCAACGTCATCTACCCCCGCACACAGCAGCCCTCCTGGCCGGCCGAATTCAGGCCCCTGGAGGTGCTCCAGCACCCGGGCGAGACCGTGTTTGTGCCCGGTCAGTCCCTGCACACACACACACACACACACAGATGTTTGCTAAAGCCCTAATCGAATGGGATTAACTTTACAAGGGTAGTTTTTGAGTTTAACAACTGATGTCTCTCAATGTAGTCCAACAAAAGTAGTGCTTGAAAGTCGTGGGATTTTGTTTTACGGTATTTGTACGAACCCTGATTTAAAATAAAGCAACGCAAGCAGTTGCCTTGTACTAAAATACAATAGTGGAAAAAATACAAGATAAATGGATTATGAATATGAATCGTTAGCATGACAACACAAAAAATCAATGCAATATAAAAGCTAAGGAAACTGAATCATCATACAAACATTTTAGTTGCTCAGAAGAATATTGTCAAAATGCCCTTAAGAGCCACCAACACTGATATCATTGCAGAGTGAATTATTATTGAACAGTGACATGTTTTGTGGTGTTCATAGGTGGATGGTGGCATGTCGTCCTGAACTTGGATACGACTATTGCTGTGACCCAGAATTTCGCGAGCACCACGAACTTTCCCATCGTGTGGCACAAGACGGTGCGAGGCCGACCCAAGCTCTCCAGGAAGTGGTACCGGTGAGACCCCGCTCTGTCTGACTTCTTCAACTTCATTCACTACTTTTCAAATGACTTTTTGATGTTATTGTATTAGCCACGTTCTCGACATCCACCAGAGGGCACTCTACACCGTCCCTGTTGGCAACACTCGTTGAGTTGGTCACGAGACATACGTTGCTTGAATAACAATTAAAAGAACATCCCCATCAGTTCTCTTAACTCAAATAAGCATGACAAAATTTGTGACTATCATGTCCAGTTTTGCTGCAGTTAAAGGACAAGTTCGGTATTTTACAATTAAAGCCCTGTTTTAAGATCGTCCCTGATGAAATAGAATGGTTAAGATTGTTTTTTAGACAGATGCTGCTGTCACGGGAATTTTTAGATTCTGTGTTAGCATAGGTGCACTCGAACAATCATTCATAAAAACGCATAAAACTTTAGTTTACAAAGACGTGAAACTCACCGAGTGGTCTGGGGTGTTCACTGATATGCTCACACAAAAATCGCTGCAAAATATGCTTTCCAGCAGGTTTTATCGTAGTTTTTGTCCAAGGCCATTTTCTTCCTGTTTTTGGTCAAAGTCCCCAGTAGTCGATTATCGAGTTTGCGTGCGCGATCCTTAGTTATCTATTTCCCAATGATCGCGCACGTGAACTCAACAATCGACTACTGTGGACTTCGACCGAAAACAGGAAGAAAATGAAGTCGGACAAAAACTACGATAAAACCTGCTGGAAAGCATCTTTTGCAGCGATTTTTGTGTGAGCATATCAGTGAACACCCCAGACCACTCGGTGAGTTTCACGTCTTTGTAAACTAAAGTTTTATGCGTTTTTATGAATGATTGTTCGAGTGCACCTATGCTTTCATTATAAAGGTGGGGGGTGGGGTGGTAACACAGAATCCAAAAATTCTCGTGACAGGAGCATCTGTCTAAAAAACAATCTTAACTATTCTATTTCATCAGGGACGATCTTAAAACAGGGCTTTAATTGTAAAATACCGAACTTGTCCTTTAAATAAGCCGAGAGTGACGCGGAATTAGCTTGTAATAGTTACGTTACGTTGTTACAGTAGTTGACTGACTGTCCTTTTAACTTTTGACAATGTGACTGAAGTATTTCTTTAATAGCGCGTGACAGTTATAGCAATGAGACGTATCATCTCTCCTTGGCCTGTTATATTGAAAATGTATGTTTTACAATTTGCAGTATGACGTAATCCATCGCAAAATTATGGCTCATCATAGATTAGCTAACCACAAAGCTAGATAATGCCACTATCATCAGTCTGTTCCTTTGTGACAATAAAAGAAACAAGTTTGCAACAAACATGCTTTATTATGCATTTCTGAAATAAAAATAAATAAAAAGAAATATCGGCCGATATATCGGATTTTAAAACCAAAAAATATTTGTATCGGTATCGGCCTTCAAAATCCTTTATCTGTCGGGCTCTAATGTCAATATCGCGATAAACCCCCATACCGGTATACCGTTACAACCCCACTCACAGCTTTAACCTGTTAACTGTCACCCCCCCTTTTTTGAAAAGACATGAAAATGCACATTTCGAACTTAAATGGTTGTAATTCAAGAATGCTTTGGAATATAGACATATGATTGGTCTTGTTTTAAAGAAGACATTTGGCAGATTTTTGTAGAAGTGAAATAAATTAAGAAAGTGAAACAGAAAAAAAGTTATAGAAGTTTGAGTTTATGGAAATGTACAATGTAAAAATATTAATTATTCATATTTTACATAAAATATATATTTTCAAAACCTGGGCTACTCTAAAACGGCAGAAAGATCAAAGCCAAAAATCTGAACAAGTTGTGTTTCAAATTTTAGGTTGATATCTCAAAAAATGAGCTTTCAGTAAGATTTTGTTTGAGCGCAGTACCAAACTTTTTCACTAGGGCACAATCAGACTCCATTACTGCCCATATAAGGGCGCCTGCATTTCCATTCATGTTTTGAGTGATATGAACCATTATTTTCACAATTTTCATACAATTTCTGAAGTAGAGATCCTATTCAGAAGTAGCATGGGAAGTTTGGCAGATTTTGATATGAATTGAACCTCTAAGAAACACATACAAAGAACACACATGTAAGTCATAGCTAGCTGACACGTCACAAATGGTGAATTTATTATTTTTTTCTTGATATTTCAAACTTTTCAGAACTTTTTTTTTCCAAAATAATTGAATGGATTCTATCTTTTGAACTTTTGGCATGAAATCAAACTGAGGTATCTACCATTTTTTCATGATTTTTCATGTTTACTGCTATTTTAAAATAAAGGTCTGAACACGCCTTATGAGTATGAAAATATTCTTGTTTTATATTGATAAATTATGGCTCCTCTGTAATATATTTTGAAAATCAGTCACCAAATATGGAAACTAGAGATTGTAAGCTTTCAAATGATATAGTTTGTCAATATTATTTAAGGTATTTACTAAGATATTATTGTTTTAAAAATATAGTGGCAAACGTCCCACCTGTGGGACGGTGACAGTTAAGTGGTTTAACAGGCGTATGCTGAATCATTGTCATTCAGGAATAAGATCAGAGGTGTTTGAATCGAGATCTCTAAAGGATCTAGTCAAACGTTAGTGGATTTGGTTGCCAATGAGAAAGTGTCAGTGAGAATTTAGATGTGTGAAGAAAACAGTCAAAGTGTGAAAGCACTTTCTCAATGATTGTTTGTTTTGATGGTTTGAATGTCAGGATCCTGAAACAGGAAAAGCCAGATATCGCAGCTCTGGCAGATAAAGTGGACCTGCAGGAATCGACGGGCATCGCCTCGGACAGCTCCAGTGACTCCTCGTCCTCGTCCTCCTCCAGCTCCTCCGACTCCGGCTCAGAGGTACATCCTCCTCCTCTAGATCCACACACACTAGATACATCAGATACACTTGCTCACAGACTGGCCCATGTGACCAAGCTCCACATCTAACTAAGCCTGGGCCAAAAAGATAATTTTTTTTCAGCCTTTTGATGACATTGTTTTCATCAACATTCATAATTTACTTCATTAAAGCACTTAAAGCGCTCCATAAGCAGATTTTGAAAACACTGGCTGTACTGACGTGTTATTATCTGGCAAATTGAGGGTCAGAAATATCAGATATGATTCACAGTCCTCAAAGTAAAGTTTTATTGATGCTGTATCTGTATTTTCTTTACTTATTAAACGGCACACTAGCATTCAAAAGTGTTGAGATTTTTAAAGAAGTTTTTACTTTTATTCAGCGAGGACCATTTAAAAGCAGCTTTCAACATTGATATTAATATTAAATGTTTCTAGTTATTTCTAGAAGATCATGTGACACTGAAGTCTGGAGTAATGATGAGGAAAATTCAGCTTTGATCGCAGGAATAAATTACATTTGAACAGATATTATAATAGAAAACAAGTTGTATTCATTTTAAATGTTTCTCTATTACTGTTTTTTGATTTTTGATCAAATAAAAATCTCGGTGAGCAGAAGAGACTTTGAAAAACTCTTTCAGAGCCCAAAACTTTGAACAACAGTGTATTAAAATTGGAAATGGATTGGATTTTAAATGTATGGCTTAGAAATGTATTAATAGCAATATTGCAGTTCTTTGTTACAATATTTACGACAATGATCATTTACAGGTAGGCTACGAGTTCTTCACTTGTAATTTGTGCTATTAACGCTAACGATTAATTGATCTCAGATTTTAATGACAATGGATTATGAATATTCCCGATCCCTTTCTGCCCTGCCCTTTTTAGAGGAATCATCATTTTAATCAAAATGAGCCATTCAAACTCCACATTTTAAAGACATCCTATTATGCCCTTTTTTGGGGGCTCTATAACAGGTTTTCATGCTTGAATATTAAAAAACCAATTATATTTCTCATATTCTCCATTGTTGAAGCTCCTCTCCCCGCAATCTGTCAGTAACACTCTGTTCCTGTCTCCATCAAGCCCCTCCTTCTCAAAACACTGTGCTCTGATTGGTCAGCTGGATCAGTGTGTTGTGATATAAAGAATAACTCCCGCTGGAGGGACTTTGCGTGCTCAAACAGCAGCTTTACACACTAAAGACAGTTGAACATGTAATTTCTGGTTCAGATTACACGATTTTAGCCGGATTTTGGCACGATCCGTTTGACGTAGGGTGTCGTGGGGATTCGTAAACGACAACGGGCGTGTCGGGGCGCAAGATTCGATCGTATCATCTCGTATAGTGTGTCATTGTGGGCGACAACCTACGTCGCGTCTGCGACGCTTCACGACAAAAAGACTAGCATGTTTAATTTTTTTAACGGTCGTCCACGACGGTTCGGTCACATGTATGAGGTTGACCAATAGGAGCACAGAAGCTTTTCCGTACACAACTTTCAAAAATGGCGAAACGAAAGAGAGACGATGGTGCTAACGTTAAAACTAAAATTAAAAATATATAAGAAAACAAAATTTTACCTCAAGTTCTCTTTGGAGGATTGACAGCCCTTCGAGCAATCCAGGAACGTGTCCATTGTCGGGTTTTCTTTGTTTTTTTAACTTTTTTCTGAACACAGGACAGCCAATACAACACTCACCGCTTCATCCATTGTTTGTTTACGTTCGTTTCCGTTAGTCACTCGCTACTAGTTTCGCCTTCTCGATGACATCATGTTAAAGACGGCACGCGATGACTGGTCAGGAAGCAACGTGACGTGTCTTGTCCACGACAAGATTTTAGGAGTCAAAATCGTGTAATCTGACACAGTAGCCATGTTTCCATCGATTTTTTAAAAAAAAATTTTTATCCGAATTAAGTGATATCGAATGAAAAATGCCTTATGGAAACAGTAAAATTCGATGAAATTTCATGAAAATCGACTCAAATGAAATGCGTTCGGTCTCATCGGATTTTCTCTTGATCGATATACGGCTCATGCGATTAAAGCTGATGGAAACGTTATTTGCCGAATAAATAATGAATTGCGATTAAGTTTTAGGCCCTTTTATGGTTGCAACACGCCAGAAGACGAGTTCATTTCCGGCCAGTCTGTTTGCGCACACATGGCGGATGTCAACAAAGACAGATGTAAGTGGACAAAGCAAAAAAAAAAGCTTCAACCAAAGGGTTTCCGTGAACCACGATCTCCCAGAACTGATGGAGCGCTGTCGTTCCCAAACCACAGTCACCTCCGCTGTCGTCGGGCATACGTGCTTCGGCATCATCATAGCAATGTTTATAGCGTCGTTGTTTTCTTGGGTTAGTTTTGCTTGTTTTTACGTGGCTTGGTTGAATTGTAATGTATAATGTGGTCTGTTATTTCTAGTTAACAGACTGCGGCGTTGCTATAACACACCGTTGCCATGGACGCAGTTCAGAGACGGAACCGACTATTTTCTTTAGCAGAAGCAATACTCGTTTTTAAATCAATAAACTCGTTTTTAAGTCAATATTTTGTGTCAAATAATTGATTTATTGATTTATTTGGTTGATTTATATGTAATGAGCAGGATAATAACAGCGAGGCGGTTGTAATAAGAAGATACTTTATGAAGACAGTCCACTTCGTGTATACAGACAGGAGCCATCTTAAAAAATAGTCTCGATAAGTCAAACCACGAACGCCATTCATACAGTTCAGAAGTTCGTTGAACTTCATAGAGTTCAGATCACTCAGCACGACGTTCGTGGTTTGACTTATCGAGACTATTTTTTAAGATGGCTCCTGTCTGTATACGCGAAGTGAACTGTCTTCATAAAGTATCTTCTTATTAAACGGTCTGTACACTTACAAAATTCTCAATGCTTCGTTTTGCATGTATGGAGCCTCATTATGTTACTGTGTTAGTGTGGGGCTATTTTGAGCCTTGTTAGTGGTATAAACTAGCGATTTCTTTTTACTTAGTCAATGCCCCCATTACTAGCATTATACGCTAAACAGTTTTAGAGATTAAACTCTTTACATTCGATTATCATGAAAACAAATCTCAGAGAACGCTTGACTAGGTACCGATGTTTTATTAGACCAAAGGTTCATTGTTCGCCGGAGTTCTCCTTTAAAATGTCTCAAATCAATTCGATATACCAATTTGATCGCAAAACAGCATGTGACGTCATTACGTACAGGTTTTTTTTCGCGTTAAAGCCGTTTGATGGAAACACACTTTCACCAGCTTTATTCGCACGTGTTTTTTTTTTACCAAACTTCAGATAATTCGATTGACAAGTGGATGGCTACAGACTATCGTAACAGACAAAAAAAATCGTGTAATCTGAACCAGGCATAAAAAAGCATTATAGATCCTCTTTAATGCAAGAAATAATATGCAATATGAATCTAGAATAAACTAATCAAGGTATGTTTTCAGCCGTGACGCATGTAAACAATTTCAATTGTCGGAATTTTATACGTAATAAAACTGCAATGAGGATATTTTTTAATGTTTTGGCATTGTTTGTGACTGTGTTTATCTTTCCTCCTGAAGGCCGACTCGGGCTCCGAGGGGGACGCCATGACCCATCGCAGAAAGAAGAGGAAAACCTGTGGCCAGATGGGAAACGGGGACATCACAAGCCAGGACGACTGCGTGAGCAAAGAGCGCAGTTCGTCCCGGTGACGTCACCCTCGTGAAAACAAAACTCAGCCTTAGTGCGCCTTTTGAGATCAACAAGAACAAGTCACCCAAATAATGTGCTTGCTGGAGGAGCAGCTCCGAGGGGAAAGATGGGAAACCCTTCTCGTGTTGCCTTTGCTGATGTCACACTCCGGATATCCCAGTGCCAAGGTCACTCATCTGCCGTTTTTATATGTCCAATATCACGCCCCATCTTGAGGTAAAACGGCTGGACCTGATGCGTGTAATGCTCTGTGAACCTAGAAATCGATTATCTTACTGATTCTGAGCCGTTTCTCTCTCTCAGTTCGCAGAGAACTTGCCCATAGTACTTAAAACTGGTATCCGTGCTGCTTTTTTCTTCACTAAATCATTAAGTCGCTCAGTTTTAGAGAATAATTGATTCTAAAAATGCTAAAGGTTTAATTAGAAGGCCTAACTATGAACACAGCCTTCAGTCCGGTTTGATCTGGTTCTGCTTTAACTCGTCACACAGTCCTTTAGCGTTGGGTTCGCTGGTTAAATTAGCACGTTTGTGGGGTTTGACTGAAACAGGAGGTGTTGTTCTGTTCTAAACCATAAGTGAAACACAAGAGGGCGCTAATGCTTATTTATTCTACAGTGCACTATGAGCCACACAGAAGAGGAAAGTGACTAACCTGTAATGTCTTAAAGTTTTGAATTCGTTTTTTTTTTAACAGAAGGTAATGACGTTAATCCAAAACTGGTAACCTGTCATGACCTAAATTTGTTTCAGGGGTACAATAACGGTCTTTTATGTTGTGATTGGACGTGAGGCGTTTAATGTCCAGAGCGAGTGTTGTTGAAATGTTTGTGACCACGTGTAACGCATCAAAGAGGAAAGATGTGGTTAAAAAGTGCCTATTTTTACCTGATGTCGGTTGCTTTGAGCTCTCGTATTTCTCATATCTCGTTTCTCAGCTGCGGATTTGAATGGCAAATATTACGATTTAACACGATATGGATGAAGCCTGCCGTTCTCGTTGCTTCAGATCTGTCTTCTTCAATGGCTTGGTCATGTGACACCCTAAGATCAAAACAAAATGAATGATGATGATTGTTTAATAAAAGTTTCTATGTATTTGTCTCGGTGCAGTCATTGTCTTTGCATATCGCATATTGTCTGAGGTGGGGTGTGATGATGTTGCGTCCAATTCACTATGACTGATTGATTACTTTTGACCCTTACATAACCATAATTCCTCTTAATGTGTCATTGGGGTTATTTGTGGCAAGGTAAATTCAAAAGATTTGACGCACAAACCACCATAAACCAGTTTATCTCATAACTGGTAAAGAGGTAAAATATTTAAGGAAAACATGTCTTGAAATTATTCATATTATATTAGTTTTAGGTTACTTTCTGGACACCACACATTAAAAACAGTGTATTTAATTGCATTTAACGTGACTTACAAAATGACAAATGCAACTTTCACAAGGATATATTTAAAGTTAAATCAAAATGGTCAATTCTTGTTTGTTTTTAATGGAGTACTGCACGTCATTATGCGTTTAAATCGTGTCCTCGTCGTAATCAATCACAATAACCTCTTTAATGATGACGTGTTTATTGGAGCGAGGGCGGGGCAACCTGTCACTCACACGAGATCAGCCATTAGCAAACCACCGTCCAATCAAATCCACACGGGTTCGAAAAAGAAAACATTATCGCAACTTTAATTTCGTGCGAAATTTAATTATTAAACATGATTTTAAACCTTGTAAATCTAAACCTTTGTTGAAAAAAAAAATACAATAGGGGATACTGTATTTATTTTTCAACAAAAGTTTAGATTTACAAAGTTTAAAATCGAGCTTTTATCTGGAATAACATCCTTTTGTTAAGAAAATATAAAATTTTTCCTTTTAAGATAAGCTGTTTTTAATGTAATGTATTCATGCTGTTGAAGAGAGTGACGATATAACTAGTGGAAACTATTGCTCTCTAAAACATCATTGGAAATATCCACTTAAATCTGCGTCAAAACCTATTATAAGGGCTATTTACATGGCAGTCCTCAGACGTATATAATTATTCCTAAAATATAATACGTTTAGTAGTGGGACGTGTGTTCATCGCCATAATAATCATATGTTCCTTTTCAAAATATATGAAGATGAGCCAATTGTTTCGTCGATGCTCCTTTAAAAAGGGTGGGCTGCCCTGTGAGGAGTGACGCTGTGTTGAGAGTCACTGGTCGTGTCTCAAATCCCTATAACCTTCCCAACTAGCATTTGTGAGCATCAGACATTTAGAATTATGAAAGTTGCGCTTGTAGGCTATAATATCAGTTTGATTTAATTATTTATTAGCTCCATTATATTATAAAAAAATAAATAAATGTTGAGATGTTATGGATTTTCTAAAAAGCTGATACTTGACGCATTTCATTTTGAGCGTCTTCCTATAGGCCAATAGATGCTGTCTATGTAGGCAGCTGACAAGGTTTTAAGCCACGGCCATTCTGAAGTGCGTCTCTCGCACATGGGCTTGATGAGATCTGTCGCTCAGACGAGCTGTAACGGGACGGGCTGAGGCGCTTAATCCGTCCGCTTCACATGCAAACACAATAACCCGCTCAAACTTACAGTTTCACCCTTGATAACAACAACGTCAACCGCAGGCAATCATGGATATTGACGTGCCTGTTATTTTGTCCGCACTTTTCTTTACGATTATTGCCATTATAGTTGCATCGACGCTTCTGGCGAAGAAACCGGAGCAAAAAAAAGATCAGAAACAGAAACAACACGAGGAGAGATCAGAGCGGGTTACTGCGTATCAGCAGCCCAGAGAGGAGCGACCCTCCCCGGCTCCTGCTCCTGCTCCTGCTGCTGCCCCCGTACAGGAGCTGGTTACTGAAAAGAAAAGGGAAGAGCCCGCTCCAGTCGCTCCAGTTGTAGAAGCTGAAGTCATCGCGGTGAAACAAACACCTGTACAGGTGAGATGCGCGCTGGGATTATTTTGCGCTGTGTTTAATTTAGTTTGTTGTCTGGAGTCTGTCCTCGAGGAAATGACACGCCGTCTTATCAGTTAAACGTTCTTTAAATAACTTTTATAGAACGTTCTTACAACTTTATCATTTGAAATGAACTTTAGTTAATTTTGTGGCAAGGTTCTCTCAAAGTTATCCCTGTAGGCTACTTTCGTTCAGATTTGGTCTTTAATAATGTTCTCAAAAAGTTAGCACAAAAGCATTTTCATGGAAGCTCTTTTACCTGAATCTTTTAGGGTTTTAAATGTTCCTTCTTGTTTTACGCACTGAGAACATTGAAAAGTTACATTACCATAATGTTTGCAAAAATGTTCCTTTAACGTTTGCATGACCACGAAAAAAGTTTTAAAAAGTTTTCAGTGAACATTCAGATTGTTTTTGTAACTAATGGGAACGCTAGCAAAACTCTCTTGCAACATTTTGCTCATGATGTTTAGAGAAACGTTCAACAACATTGGGACGTCTTTAACCCTTTATGACCTGCCATAGAACAGTTCCACCAGAGTATGTCTTTCTATTTTTACATGCTGTGCTGTCATTCTTTTGAGCATTTTCCTATGCCATACATCAAAATAATCCTTTCTTTCTCTACTTGAAGGCTATGTTTGTAAAAAATCAATAGTACCTAGATAAATATCTCAAAAATGCAATAAACAAAAAGAAAAACAATTTAAAAAAAATCTACATATTTTATTCAATACAAAAAAATGATAAATGTAAACCTCAAACTTGTCAATGAGAAAAATGTGCATAAAACAGTTTAAAACTATACAGAATTGATTTGAACTGTTTACATCAATTAGTTTTTAATGTTTTTACTTTTCATAACGTTGAGAGGGCGTAAAGTCCTTATGTTAATTGTACTTGATCAATGTTTACATTAAATGTTTTAAAATATTGCTTATAAATGTAACAGTACTTGTGGTGGAATGGGAGATTTGCATCATGAAGTGTAGCCAGCAATTCTGCAGCAACTGCCATCCATCTATCTACCCATTTACCCATCCATCCATCCATCCACCCATCCATCCATTCCTCAATCCACCCATTTACACTCATCCATCCATCTATTCACCCATCCAACCATTCACCTATGAACCCATTTACACTCATCCATCGGTCCATCCACTCATCCACCCATCCCTTCATCTATTCATCCATCAATCAATCCATCCATCCATCTATTCACCCATCCATCCATCCATCTATTCACCCATCCATCCATCCATCCTCCCTCCCACCCATTCATACACCTACCAACCAACCAACCAATCTATCCACCCATCCGTCTATACACCCATCCAAGCATTCACCCATCAACCCACCATTGGTCCATCCATCCATCCATCCATCCATCTATTCACCCATCCATCCACCCACCAACCAATCCATCCACCCATCCATCTATTCACCCATCCAAGCATTCACCCATCAACCTATTTACACTAAACCATTGGTCCATCCATCCTTCCGTTTATTCACCCATCCATCCACCCACCAACCAATCCATTCATCCATCCATCATTCATTCATTCACCCATTTACCCATCCATTCACCCACCAACCCAATTACCCACCCGTCCGTCTGTTCATCCATCCATCCATCCGTCCATCTGCCCATCCATCGGTTTACACATCCATCCATTCATCCAAAATTTGCACACATCATCTGTGAACATCAAGCCCTGCCGCCTTTGATTTGATTGGCCATCTTAGTCTTTTTGATATTGCTGTTTTGGTGTGTTCAAGTTATCTCTTAAAGATGGTAACATCCACATTGTTGTAAATACGAGTAGGAAGCTTGGGATTTTCTTTAAGCCCCGATCTTTGGTTGGGAGTTGGTTGTGAGAAACATGCACAACACCCTCATCACAAGCAGTGATTTTCTAATTACAGCAAAGTAAGCTAATTACCAATGGCATTATAATATAACAATATAATATGTAATGATAACATTTAGCTTCATAAATGAACTAAAAACATTAAAAAAAGCAAAGCACACCTGATGCACATCTTTGTTTGGGCATTTTAATTTATTGGGACTGAGGCCTCCCTCAGTGTATACGGCCAGTACAGAATGCGCCTTGTGCTTGTGCTCTTTTAAACATCACACTAGTTGACTTGTCGAGTTCAGGAGGGTTTCATGTGAGCACGCGTTTGGTCTTGACTTAGAATGTGCCACCACAGCTGTAACCAGAGCTTTGAACGTGGCAAACACACACCAGGGTCCTTCTATATATGGCTTCAAATGTATATCCACTATATTTAAAAGTGTATATTGTGTAACATGCTGCAGCTGAGAGCTCAAGGAGTCTTGAACACAGGTGTGTGTGACACACATGATCTTCAGTGAATACTCTTGAGGAACTGAAGTTCACTTCACGAGAACAGAGCGCTAAAATCACCTTCAGAGCTCCATTCTATGGAGGGATTATTGGGTCCGATTGAAAACTAGAAGTCTAAAAAGACTTAAACGAAAACTAAAAGTCTAAATTTGAAACTAAAAGTCTTAATTGAAAACTAAAGGTCTTAGTCTAAGTCAAAAATGAATTTGGTATTCAGGATTTGGGCGTTTGAGTATTTTTGGGGAGTGTATGCAAACAAGGAGGCGTGGCCCAAATACTGGAGGCTGGGTCTGACATGGCTGGTGCGCAGAGGCACCTTATGGACAACAGAGGGCGCTCCCAGTGCTAAGGAGCATGCTGACAGAGTGTGCTCTTCAAAGTGAAAGTTGTCGTGCTCTGCCATCCACGTTGGCTGCCATATTAACAATGGCAAAGCCAGAGCTAGCATCTTTGTTGAGACAGGCGCTGGACGTTTTGGACAAAGAAAAGGCTTCAAGTAACTTTGAGGCTTCTTCCTTGACCAACACCTTCCCCTTGTTTATTTTACCAACACCGAACGTGTTCGATCGAAATGCAACCCCGACTTGCGCCCAACATGTTACAACGCTGTCATTAAGTTGAAGTTATCACATTATGAAGTACAGTTCTCGCTCCAGCCCTACTCACTCACTCTGTTTGGTTACCTTACAATGTGCTCCTTAGCACTGGGAGCGCCCTCTGCTATCCATAAGATGCCTCTGCGCACCAGTCATTTCAAACCCAGCCTCCAGTATTTGGGCCAAGCATTCTCATTTGCATACACTCCTCAATTCTTAAATGCCCAATCCTAAATCCCTAAATGTTCAAGTTCAAGTTCAAGTTCATTTATTTATATAGCACATTTAAACAGCCGCTCAGACAGACCAAAGTGCTTTACAGAACAAGAATTAAAAACAAACACACAAACAAAAAACAAAACAAAAAGAAATAAGCATATCCCACATAAAAGGCAGCAAAGCTACCAGTAGCCTTGTCAGAGACCCAGTTATAACATAATAAAATACTTAAAAGGAGATCAGTATGCTAAAGAGAAAAGGTAGGTTTTCACCAAAGATTTAAAAATAGACAGGTTTGGGGCCGTTCGAATCTCTAGGGGCAGGGTGTTCCACAGACGGGGCCCTGCCACAGCAAAAGCACGCTCCCCTCTGCGCTTAAGTCTGACACGAGGGACTACCAGCAGAGCCTGGTCGTGAGATCTTAGGCTTCTGGGCGGAGTATAGGGATGAATAAGTTCGGAGAGATAGGCTGGGGCTAGGCTATGTAGCGATTTAAAAACAAATAGTAGGACTTTAAAATCAATTCTCTGCCGGACAGGTAGCCAGTGTAAGGACTCAAGAATTGGAGTGATGTGGTCATATTTGCGACAGTTGGAAATAAGTCTAGCCGCAGCGTTTCGGACCAGCTGAAGACGGGCAATTTGAGAAGCAGATATCCCACAATAGAGTGAATTGCAATAGTCGAGCCTACACGTGATGAAAGCATGAACTGCCATTTCGAGGGTTGTCGGAGTAAGAAATGCCCAATCCTAAATCCTAAATGGCTAAATGACCAAATGCCCAATCCCAAATGACCAATCCTAAATGACCAATCCTAAATGACCAAATGCCCAATCCTAAATGCCAAATGCCCAATCCTAAATGCCAAATGCCCAATCCTAAATGCCAAATGCCCAATCCTAAATGACCAAATGCCCAATACTAAATGCCAAATGCCCAATCCTAAATGCCAAATGCCCAATCCTAAATGCCAAATGCCCAATCCTAAATGCCAAATGCCCAATCCTAAATGCCAAATGCCCAATCCTAAATGCCAAATGCCCAATCCTAAATGCCAAATGCCCAATCCTAAATGCCTAATGCCCAATCCCAAATGCCCAATCCCAAATGCCAAATGCCCAATCCTAAATGACCAAATGCCCAATCCTAAATGACCAAATGCCCAATCCCAAATGCCCAATCCTAAATGACCAATCCTAAATGACCAAATGCCCAATCCTAAATGCCAAATGCCCAATCCTAAATGCCAAATGCCCAATCCTAAATGACTAAATGCCCAATCCTAAATGACCAAATGCCCAATCCTAAATGCCTAATGCCCAATCCCAAATGCCAAATGCCCAATCCTAAATGACTAAATGCCCAATCCTAAATGACCAAATGCCCAATCCTAAATACTAAATGCCAAATGCCCAATCCTAAATGCCAAATGCCCAATCCTAAATGCCAAATGCCCAATCCCAAATGCCAAATGCCCAATCCTAAATGACCAAATGCCCAATACTAAATACCAAATGCCCTATCCTAAATACTAAATACCAAATGCCCTATCCTAAATGCCCAATCCTAAATACTAAATGCCCAATACTAAATACTAAATGCCAAATGTCCAATGCCCAATCCTAAATGTCCTATCCTAAATGCCCAATACTAAATACCAAATGCCCTATCCTAAATGCCCAGTCCTAAATACCAAATGCCCCATCCTAAATGCCCAATCCTAAATACTAAATGCCAAATGCCCAATCCTAAATGCCAAAAGCCCAATGCCCAATCCTAAATGCCAAATGCCCAATCCCAAATGCCCAAAAGCCAAATGCCCAATCCCAAATGCCCAATCCCAAATGCCCAATGCCAAATGCCCAATCCCAAATGCCCAATCCCAAATGCCCAAAAGCCAAATGCCCAATCCCAAATGCCCAATCCCAAATGCCCAATGCCAAATGCCCAATCCCAAATGCCCAATCCCAAATGCCCAATAGCCAAATGCCCAATCCCAAATGCCCAATCCCAAATGCCAAATCCCAAATGGAAGTGCATCTCTCTATCATAAAAGTGCATCTCTCCAGCATAAGTGCATATATCAATTATAAAAGTGTATCTCTCCATCATAAAAGTGCATCTATTAATATATAACTCTGATTGTATTCGTCTGAAATAATAATGTCATGTACACCTAGGATGGCTTGAGGGTTAGTATATGCTAATTTTCATTTTTGGGTGAACTGTTCTTTTAAGTTTGTTAGGTACTTGTGTGTTACCACACTGGTAAAAGTGTGCTTGCTGTTCTCTTTGCTCAAACAGGCAGAGATTAAGGCTGAGGAGAAGGCAGCTGTTGAGCCCAAACAGGAAGAGCCCGCTGCTGTCGCCCCTGTGATTGAGGAAGTCGGTGTTGTAGAGGAACAGCCTGCAGTTGAACCAGAGGTTATCCCTGCACAAGAAACGCCTGTCCAGGTAAGATGTGAGATATGATGGACTTGTTTGAAGATGAGTGTAGATGCTCTACTATCCATTATTTATCAGTTAAAAGGACAGTTCACCCTAAAAAAAAATCAAGTCATCAGTTAGTGAACTGCAGTGCTGATAGAGTCCCAGGAACATTCGCTGTGCGCAGAAAACCAATGGCCAAGGTCAGGATTTTCATTAAATAATACATAACATTTCTTCATTAAGTAATACAAAAACATAAGTGGTGACGTACATGGGATCATTCTGTGATACTTTTGGGTCTTTCAAAAAAAAACTTAATTCTGGTCACTATTTACTGCCATTAAATGGACGAGTGTGAGTGGTAAATTTATTTTTTTCATTCTCCTTTTGCATAAAAAAAAATGGGCATACGACATTACAACACCAGGTTGAGTAAACGATCACCTAATTTCCGTTTTAAGGTGAACTTTCCCTTTAAGCCAGATATGATTTAATTTTGGTAAATGATTACCATCTTCTTTTTTCTTTTGGACTAATGTACTTCGAAGACCAGTAACACGTGTACTAAATGGGGTCATGATGTGAGAAATACATATTTTTTGACACATAAGAGGTCACTGTGCTGTAACCAAATACCGTTGCTCATACTCAAATTACTCTTCACTACAAAAACAGCATTTGGTGAAACCAAGAACATACTTTTTTTCTCTCTCTTGTTCTCTTTTTCTTTGGAACATTGTGGGGTGCAAAAGACAAGATTCATAACAAATAAAACAGAAGTGCTCATATGTAAATATCCGCATAATTTTGCTTAATAAGGACCGTACTAGTCTGGCAATAGTGCTGTGAAGTTCCACACATGAGAAACATTAGAAGTGCTGTCACACCCACTGATCCAATCCTGTCCATTCAGAACAGCAGGAGACCCTCTGGGATCCATTACACAGCGTTATGTAACACGGCTTTTTCCGCCTCCTCTACAGTCTGGCTAAAAAAACATGAGAGTGATACCATTACAGGGAGAGCCAGATTTCGTCTAGTGTGCTGTAGACTTTAGACTAACTACATTCAATCTGATCTGCATTGCAGCTCAATCTCGAGGAAACCAAGAATCAGCCGCCAAAAACAACATGGTGATGTTTGTTTACAAGCAATTACTGTTCATTCGGGTTTATCTGAAATGGAGATGCCAAATAGGATTAGTTTTTGGGATTGGCAACCAATAGTTTTTGGGATTGGGATTGACAGTTAGCGATTCAAATACTTATGGGAGTCAAGCACATATTCTCTTTCCAGAAGCAATAGCAAAAGTGACCAAAGTTATGTCAAAGATGGCGACGACCATGAAACCGAAAAGTCTTTGTTTTTTGTTTAATGGTTCCAGTTATAGAATGTGATTGTAACTCACGTAAAAAAACAAACAAACTGGGTTACACTTTATTTTGGTCCACATTAGACATTCTGCTAACCGTAAGAAACGTTGGAACTACAGGTCAACTAACTCTCATTAGAGTACAATTCGGGGGGTTAATAGAATTAATTTGACGTAGTTGTAAAGTTACTTAAGGTCAGTATATCTTGGAGAGCATCAAATGAAAGTGTTAGCAGATATTTACAAAGTCCCTTTAAGTCATTTCACTCGGCGGCCATCTTTGAAACGCCTCTCGGTCATGCGAGTGGAATGGGGAAACATCAAATTCTCTAAAAATCTTCGCAAAGCTTACGTTTAAATTTCATATTTGAAATCACCAATGAAATCTGACAACTGTCTCATAAATATCTTTCTAAACACTCGAATCATGACAGGAAAGGAAATTTTACAGGCTGGATCAAGCTAATGCAAATGCGCAGTGGAAGCGTGTCTGACTCTGGAACAGCAGCTGCTGTGACGCGATGACTTTACCAATTGCCGATTGGCTCTTATTTAGAAGGCGGGACTAATTCCGTCATATTGAGCGTTGCACTTTTCCCATTTCAAAACAGTACAATTGACAAGTCTTGTGTAATTCTATAGTATTTGATATTAAACAGACAGTCTACTAATACTTTAATGACTGCTAATTGGAGTTATTTACTTAGAGTTAGTTGAATATCTAAAGTGGGCCATTGAAATAAAGTGTTAGCAATGACTGAACTGCGTGTGAATGTAACCATATAAATACAGAACTGGCAATCATATTCTTCTGATTCGGCGTGAATGTAGCTATCCTGTAGCCTGACTTCGTCATACTCATATTCTTGTCGGAATATGAGTCTGAAACCGCTCCATAGGGCTTTGATTATTAGGCGTGTCATAACCGAACCAGAAAAAAAAAACTCTGCACTCAATTGGATAGTCAGTAAACCTACAACCAATCAGAGCAACGCAGTAAGTGAACTACTTTGCATACAGTTGTTAACTACAGAACTTACTTATTTTAGAAGTTAAATAACGAGCGTTGCTTCTTTTAATTGGTCCTCCATGAGTGCGACCAAAGGAGAAACCACAACGACCACAAGCTTTTCATTACGTCCCATCTTCTTAGCGACCATCGGAGCCAGCTGATAAGTTACACTTTTGCCGAATCACGTAGGAAGGACGGCAAAAATATCTTTCCGATCGACAAATGCCTTGATTGCAGTTTTCTGTTCGTCTATTAAAATGAATGCGCTGTCGATTTATTTTACAACAGACGCGACAGCAGAATCTATACATCTCAATTCTCCAGCTGCAGTCATCTCTGAGGGAAACCAGTTAAGCGCTCTTTGATAACGTGATGATTACGTCCTTGCAGATCATCTGTCCATCATCGTATAAAGCCCGCCCTTGCAATTTGATTGGTGCGAACATTTTTTGCCTGATCATAATTACTCCTCAATGGATCGAGTCCAGACCGAACTTCTCAACCAAAAAATGTTGTGGGCAGGGTTCGGGCTGGCATCCAGGCTAGCTATCCTGTATTGGGGAAAGAAATTCAGGTAATGGTGATGCAGTCACATAGCCTGGCATGCCAGACCTACATCAAGATGTTGGGTCTGGGAACTCATCATTGACAGGGCTCAATCCGAGTTGCGGGTTGTCTTTCAAATTCTCTCTGCATGCAACTGGATAGCGCTACAGCCAATCAGAACAACAAAGAACGTGACTACTGAGTCCCATGCATTTTCCCACCAGCGGAGCAAGTTGATATATTAAAGTTTTACCGTATCCAGTCGGCAAATCTCCATTTTTTTTTTTTTTTTTTTTTTAAATGACTCAAGTGCCATTTTTGGTTCTGGTTTCAAAGAAAGGCTTAAGTTCAAATCATCCAGAGTAGCGGTCAAAGCCGAATCGAAAGACAGCTGTTTGCCAGCAGCAGCCATTCTTTGTTTTCAAGTAGCAGTGAACCGTCGCAACTTGTCATTACACAATGTGATTGGCCTGACCAGAGTTTGGTTTTTCCAGCTAAAACATCTAAGGAGAGTTGCTTGACCACATTGGCTGCGTCTAGATTTCTAGGCTAGCAGTCACGGTGAATGATTGAACAGAAAACCCAACAAATAGTGTGGATACTCCAACAGCCCTCACTGCGCTTGGTGCGTTTATCAGTGGATGTCTTCCATGCAGAAGCTTGGATAATGTATTACTCATTTATTGAGGCTATAAAGCATATTTACATAACCCGGTTCCTCCTGCCGAGTTTTATTCTCAACTCTGATCAAACACTCCAGGCCATAATTTTCAGAATGAACCCCAAGAGCTTGATGTTATTTGGTATGTTCTTTGACGGGGATGAACTAATCTACGTGTTATGCACATCAGGATTGAGGGCTTGATTAGCTGGCTCAGGTGTGTTTGGTTCGAGGTGAAACCGAAGTCTGCAGGAACGCGGATCTCCTGGGACGGGACTGAGACTGACGTGTTGATTGGTTTCTAGAGAATAAATAAGCTCTTGTGCTGTTTGTTACCCATGAGGCAGTTCTCTGATTGATGTATGACTTTAGAAGAGCGCTGGAAGATGGATTGACTCCAACGGGACTTGGCCTGTTCCTCTACATTTCTATAAATAATGTACTAATTTTTCACAGGGGGCGCCATATTTGATATCGCATACATCATCTGTTTAAGTTGAACTCGTGTTTGATGACGTTTAATGTCGGCCAGACGGTGGCTTCCTGTCTAAATCAGAATAAACAGCAAATCATACCAGACTTTGTTTCTCTTGGACATTTTTCAAGACATTTGCAGTGGAACGTTGGGAATGTTGTTTCACACGTTGACTTTAAACTTAGTAACCCCTGAGGTCCATCATGACCTTTGGCCCCATGACCTTTAGACATGCTGATGTGGCATAGTTCCTTCTTTGGCACTTTCAGACCCCCCCTCTCTCCCTGGAGACGACATGAGTTAGCATCTGGAAAGAAGAGCTCAGATTTCACCATTTTTTGCACTGAGCCTTGCAGATCTACTTCAGGTTTAGTGGTTCCTTAAATGAATTAATTGAATTAATCATAAACAGACTGTGTACACTGTAAACAAGCTTTAAAACATCTGATTATGAGATGTGTTTATGCAATTATAAGCATCTGGACCAGTTAAAGTAATAATTTATCCAAAATTGACTATGACTTTGTATCCAAAGTGAAACATATGACCTAAATCCCACGTGCCTCAGGGTCTGATTACATGCTTTCTGGCCCTTTCTCCCACAATTCCAGCTCCCAGCTCATCAAGTTTCCTTTGTTCGGAGAGTTTTACCTTCCTTACATGGCAATGTGTGTTGAGAGGGAAAACCTCAAAGAGGAAAGCTGTACCAATCTGCTCTGAGGTGCCGCCAACAAGGACTCAACAGCGGATGTTGACGGCGAACAAATGTCCTCCAACTCAAAACTTATTGTTGTTTTGGAGGGATTTCTGGACGCATAACATGTCTAAAGCATGAATGAGTGGCTGAACTAAGGGGTTTATTTAAAACTGAAGACGTCAGTGTTGAATTTGCAGACCACAAGCATCTGAAACAGGGCGAGCGCTCAAGAACATTCCTCACCTCTTTGTTTCTGTCTCC